GGGCCAGTTCATATCACAGGCATTCACAGTGGCCACACCCCAGTAAAAACCATCTCAGCAGATGGGCTAAACCAGGTTGAGGGTAACCAACAAATCTCATTTGGCGACTTAGAGGGATGTGAAGACTGAATGGGCAGATGAGAACAATTTGTTCCAAAGGCCATGAAGGCAGCTCAAGCAGGCTCTATGGTGTGCTTAGAGCTTGTTTAGACATCAAAGACACCATCCTATACACCATCACCACTTGCCCTGAGTTTAGTCTTCCACTGGACTTCCAATGACTCTGAAAGAGAGAGTAAGGCTGATGGCTCTGTGCAACTCTGCCTCACATAAATCCAAATCACATGCAAGTCAAGACATTACCCATGATATCATTGGTTCTCTTCTCAAGGAAGGGCAAACAAACAACAATTACAGCACTTCTCTGCTTAAAATTTTTCTTTGGCTTCCTATTGCCAAATAAATAACATATAAACTCCTTAGCCTAGTATTCAAAGCTTTCCATAATCTAGGGCCACTTCACCCTTCCAGCTTTATCTCATGTGACTCCACTCCACATACTCTGTGCTCCAGGCAAACTAGAAAGCTCTTCCCTTCCCCCCATCACCACCTGCCTTCCCGTCTTTGCTAAAACTATTCCCCTGTTCCTGGAATTTCCTTCCATTCCTACTCCATTTGTTGAAATCCTCCCCCTCTTTCTAGATGCAGTTCAAATATTTCTTCCATGAAGCCTTTCCCGACATACTCCCCAACCCTTCTATCTTGACCACCTTGATCCTCATTTAACTCATCTGCCCATTCAGTCTTCACATCCCTCTAAGTCACCAAATGAGATTTGTTGGTTACCCTCAACCTGGTTTAGCCCATCTGCTGAGATGGTTTTTACTGGGGTGTGGCCACTGTGAATGCCTGTGATATGAACTGGCCCATAAGGAGAATTAGTTGGGCATTGGCATATTCAATTAAGGTGCTGAATCCTTGGGATCTCACTGAGAAAGGGATAATTCATTGTACAAGACTCTAACTGAAGTGACAAATATATTCGATCATGCATGTTCCATGTTATATTATAAATAGGGTTTTTTTAAGTTATTATCAAGTATAGATTACTATATGGCCAGTGAAATAAAGAATACAACTGCTCAGAAGAATTAGAAATGAGTATCACGGTGGAGAAGTGCATGGTGGGTTTGACTAGAGTATAACAAATAGCCAACACAAGGAAGAGCAGAAAATCAAGGAATTACATGATAGGAAGAAAAGGTGGATTAATCAGATGACAAGAATGGGGGACGACGGGGAGACAGCCAAAGTGCTCTGTTGGAGTCGCCATGATTTCTGGAGAAAGAGCGGCCCCCAGTATGTGTACTGGATCCCCTAGGATGAACCTATGGCTGTATGCTTACTGGATGCGTAGCCCTGGGTAAGTCACCTAATCTCCTTAAGCCTCAGGTCTCTCACCAGTACAATTCAAGGGTCTGACTAGATACTTGATTAAAAAGCACCAAATCTATCATCCTACAACGTGAATAGGAGCAGCTAGGTGGTGCAGTGGATAGAGTGTCAGGCCTGGAGTCAGGAAGACCTGAATTCAAATCCAGCCTCAGAACCTTAGGAGTTGTGTGACCCTAGGCAAGTCACTTAATCCTATTATCTCAATTTCCTCATCTGTAAAAATAAGCTGGAGAAGGAAATGGCAAACTACTCTAGTATTCTTGCCAAGAAAACCCCAAATGGGGTCATGAAGAGTCAGATATGACTGAAACGACTGAACAACGATAAAAACCATGGATGAATCGCTCAGGATTGGCAGATGTGGATACCACTGCAGGTAACTCTGAATGGATGATGTCAGAGAGTCATTTGAATAATACCCATTATGTTTCATATCCCTCCATAATAATAACGGCCCCTCTTCCACCTTCCTCTTATGTATCATCATGACCTGAGGGGAGCCTGGGTTCTCCAATGTTATGATAATGGAGCAAAAGCCCTGGTAGCTACATCCAAGCTTGAAACATTTTGAGTCCAAGCTCAGTGATGAGCTGAGTATCTGTCATCTGAAGAACAGTCCAGTGCTTAAGAGATACTCATCTTCAGAAATCCAGTTACAAAGTGAGGGGCTCTTTTAAGTTATTACTACTCCCCTAGACACTCTATTAGAGCAAATGAGCATCAAAAGCAGCATCAAAGAAGAGAGGACCCACACGGATGAAATCATGGGTCCTGGAAGTATTGTGGTAATAATGCCTCACCTTTATGTAGTGCTCAAATATTTTCAAAGCATGTTCTTTCTGCAGTCTTCTGAGTTAGGTCATGCAAAGATTATTATCCCCATTTTACAGATGAGGGAACTGAAGCTTAGATGGATTAAGTAACAAGGTCACATAACTAGTAATTATTGCACCAAAAGGAGTATGGGGATTAACCTCAGATTTTCTGACTATTCCTGTAATTCTTTCAGGGTAGAGACTCTATCTTTTCATCTTTGTGTGCCCCAGGATCCCTGGACAAGGCCTTACGTATAATATTTGTTTTATGAATAGTTCTTGAATCAAATTAAAATACTTTTCTGAGATAACCACCTGACAGTTACCCTCCTTCCTTTCCCTTCCCTTCCCTCCTTCTTTCTGCCCATCCCTAGGTGTTTTCTTCTACCTGAGTTCTGCTGTGAACCCCATCATCTACAACCTGCTCTCCCACCGATTCCGTGCAGCCTTCCTACATGTGATCTCCCCCTTGGGCAAGCACTGGTACCCAAAGCATTCCCCAAGTAGCCCCCCTGCTCAGCAGGACACTTTCCTGCATCAGGAATGCCATCTTGTGAATGAAGATGCCAGCCCCACATTTCCTCACAGTACAGCAATCTGCAGCTCACATTTATCCACCATCCTCTGAATTCCACTGCCAAAGGTGACTTGTGGTGAAGTCCATGACTTTTGAATAACTTCATTCCCAGGTACCATGATCTTTACAGAGTTTAGAACTTAGTGTTATGGCATTCAATACTTGCCATGAGGTTACATTTTGTCGCTCATCCTTAGAACATACTATCTTTTATATGAGAAGATGGTTATTCTTTAATAAGGTTAATATATTCAATCCACTAGTAGGGGGTGGGCAACATGCAACCATTAACACTCTCTTATTAATCACTGGTGTCAACAATAGCCAGGGCTAGTCTTATAAATAATTTGTACAAATCAAAGAGGCAAAGTTATCTTGGGGCCAAAAGTCTCCCTCCCAGTTCCAGGTATTTATCATCATAGCTGCACTCCTCAGATTTCATTCGTTGCAAGTAATAAAATGCAAGTATCTCCAAGGATGATTATATCTTAAAGTTACAGATGAAACTTTAAAGATCTGTTAATATTTTGGCCAAAATGGGACCCAGGATAAATCGTGTGGGTGGAAAGATAAAGGAGGCAGGGTAGCAGATGAATGAGATAAGGAGAGAGAAGAAAGTGACATTGAGAGACAATAAGGGCGCAAAGGATAAATTTATGTGCAGGGTTAGTGATATAATGGAAAGAGCCCTAGGCTGAGCAACCAGAAGACTGTATAAAATCCCCACTCTGATGTTGACTACCTATGTGACCTTGGGCAAGTTAGTTCATCTCTGCAAGCCTCAGTTTGTTCTTCTGAAAAATGGGAGTGGAGAAATAATCCTTCTACTATCTATATCACAGGGATGTCAGCAACAAATGAGATCATATACGTTTTTTTTTAAAAAAGCTCACATGAAAAGCTTGAGCTCTGGAGCATAATTGAAGGAATTGCCTTGGTGTTATGATGATCTGTGTGTGTGTCAGACCCCTCCTTATAGAGGATAAGCTCCTGGAAGGCAGCAAGCAGAATTTTTCAATCATTGTATTTCCAGGACCTAGGAGAGGACTGGACACCATAGTGGGCGCTTAATAAATGTTTCTCCAAAAATGATCTGGCATTACACAGTTACTTTAAAAAATAGGTAAAATAAAAAAAAAAAACCTTGTAATCCTTAAAGTTCTGGAGAAATGAGCACTACTTTACTGCTCCTTATCTGTCTGTGAGTTTTATGTGTTTCCCTGGGTTTCCTGGTGACCAGCCTGAGAACCAGAGCAGACAGTTCAGTCTGTATTTGTGCCCAGGGAGGATGGTTTCCCCTGGTTAATTCCCTATCAATCTGTGTCACCTGTGGGCAGAGGGCAATAGGCTGATATAGTTACTCAGACTTAAAAGACCTGGGTTCTAGTCTCATCTCTGTCACTTACTATATGATCCTGAGAAAGTCACTAAAGCATCAGTTTTCTCTATATGTAAAATGGAGTGAGTAGGAAGAGAGCAAAGGAATGATCTCTCAGACTCCTATCTTCAAATCCTATGCATGTGAGAGGAATCCAGGGACCCACTGTGCCTGCTCACATACTAAAAGGCACAAGGCAGTATTGAACCTGGCCATAGACTGTGCTAGATGAACACATCTGATGTGTCTCTGCACTCCATTCAGAGTCTGGAGAAGCCCCATCCATGGAAGCAAGAAGGCTCTCACTTTAGTCAGTTGCCAATACATATGGTACCTATTAAGCACCTGCTGGGAACAAGTCACACTCAAGAGCCAGCTATGTACCTCCCATCCCTCCACCCAGGTTTTTTTTTCCTTGACGAAATGGGAGTTTTAATAAGTCTTCATCACTCCCTGATTCCCTTATCCCATATCACTAATTTTACAAAATTACAATTAAACCTCCATGCCTCATAATTCTTTGAAAACAGGTTATAAAGATAGTCTGCATTTTGTTGTCGTTAACAACCGAGTCTGGAGTTTCCTTGTTTTCAATTCCTTTTACTGAAAATCGCTTCCTGCCTTAACAGATAGAGTACACTAGCTAAAGCTGCTTAGATATTTTCCTTTGACTGTGAGATCATGCAAGTCCCCATGCTAATCATGCTGGGACCCTTGTGCACAGCTGAAGAGAGATGGAGAAGTAAGAGGATATTGAGATGGATATGGATTAGATCCATGATGCCTCCAAACAATTGTCTTCTTCTTTCCCATTAAATCTCTGGTCTTAGCTGACATTCCAAATATCATTGGCATCCTTCTCCTAAAAATAGAATGCAAAGAAGGGGGGAAAGGTTAGAAAGATGAGTTGAATCAAATTAAAGTAGATTAATAAATGAATACACATTCATGTAACGCTTCATTCTTGTATTCAAAAACCAATGCTACAAATACAGGACTAGTGACATACAACTGCACAACAGTTGAAAAAGACCTAGACTTTTACTTAACTAAATAGGAGTTAGCAAGAGGGATGTTGTAGGTCCCCTCCCCACTTTCTAACCCCCCCAAAAAACTAATGTAATCTCAGACTGAATTAATAGAGGTATGATATCTCAAGCATAGGAGGTGACAACCCTATTCTCCTCTGCCTTGGCCACACCCAGTCTGGAGTACCATATCCAGTTCTGGGCGCCATGTTTTACAAAGGATATTGGAGGATCTCGAGGAGGGTATCCAGATTGGTGAGTAAAATCATATCAAAAGAGGATTGATTGAAGGGACTGGAAAATAATTTGGGTCGGGGGTGATGTTAGCTGTCTTCACATGTTTGAAGAGCTATTGTTTAGAAGAGATATTACACTTTTTCTGCTTATTCCCCAGCACGCAAGATCAGGACCAATAAGGGTCCTAGGGAAGTAACCTAGAGGCAGATTTGGGGTCCATATGAAGAAAATTTCTGAAAAGTTCGAGCCCTTTGATAGCAGAAAGGGCTGCCTTTGGAGACAGTAAGTTCCCTATCATTGGAGGTCTTTAAGTAGAAGCTGAACAATCACTTGCTGAAGATGTTATAGAATTTACTGTTCAGCTATGAATTGATCTCCAAGGTTGATTCCAATTCTTAGAATCTATGATTCTGTAGTAGATTATATGAATATAGAATGAGATGTTAAGAAAGGTTCCCTGAATGGGTACTCCTGGTGAATCACTCCCACAGAGCACCCAGAGCATGACCCTCTGCACATGAGCTATATTGAATACGAATTTCAGCAGCAGAACCACTTTCCAATGTCACGGCCCTGGATAAGTTAATGCCTGCTTCTTCACTCGCAAAAATGAGGGTTATACTTGCCTACTTGTCTCACAAGACCATTTGAGAAAATGTACATAAAGTACCTGGCAGCTAGATGGTGCAGTGGATAGAGTGCTGGGTCTGGAATCAGAAAGACTCATCTTTGTGAGTTCAAATCTAGCCTCAAACACGTACTAGCTGAGTGACCTTGAACAAGTCACTTAACCCTGTTTGCCTCAGTTTCCTTACCTGCAAAATGAGCTGGAAAAGGAAATGGCAAACCACATCAGTATCTTTGCCAAGAAAATCTCCAATGGGGTCACAACGAATCAGAAACAAATGAAAAATGACCAAACGAAAGAACACATGAAATGCCAAAGAACCATGAAGTCCTATGCGAGTATGAGTTGTTGTTGATATTGTTATTGTCGATACACAGATTTTCATTGGCCAAATTCACTTAAGTCTCCCTTTTGGAATGATGAACATTCATTTGAATCAATCTGGCATGCAGGCATGAATACAAAATAGTAAACATACAGAAGCATGTGTCATCCTTCCGCAAACTATACGATCTATTTGTAAAATAAATACCTTGTCTTCATGCGATAATTACAGGTCATAGAAAATCATGGTTATTAAGTTCATTGAAAAATACAGCCACTGAACAAGACATTGGCACAGTTAACTAGGGTTTCATAATTATCCTGGAAGGGAAATGTTACTCTTGGTGTGCTTCAGAGGTAAAGAACACCTTCTTGTCTGTGTCCCCTTTGTATTCATGCTTACTTTTAGAAATTGTTCTTAAAGTTATTGTGTTTCTATAAATCTCTTGTGAAGATCAAATGAAATAATATATGTAAAGTTCTTTGCATGCCTTCAAGCAGCATACAAATTCTGACCGTCGTTGCTGTGGTTATTGCCTATGTAGATATAACACGAAAGGCACCTCCTTCCATGGTAGATGAAGGTTGTCTCAGCTCAGGCCAGCCAGCCAAATGAAAAGTCAAATTTCTGTTCATATTTCATCACCTAATATGTTTTCTTAGAGGACCTACTTTACTACCCACATAAGAACTGTAATGAATGGCAACCTCTTAAAGGGCAAGAGCTTACCTTGTTTCATCTTCTGTCCTCTTTAGCGCCTATCATAATGTTTTCAATATAGTAGCACTTAATAAATATTTGTTGAATTAAATTTGATAAATTTAATCAAATAATGTCTTATTTCCCCTATTTGACCATAAGCTTCTGAAAGGCAGAGACTATATTTTATTTAGCTACGTCTAGCACAGCATCCTAAGCATAGTAGAAATTTCATAAATTATTTTGACTGAGTAAATGTCACTTCTTACATTTTATCTTTCTTGTTAAAATGTGTGTATATGTTGTACAAGTTCACTAATTAGTAGAAAAGATCTATTTGATTTAGTGAGAAGTGTAAATAAAAGAGAACTTTGAAAAGATATAATTATATTCTTTTCAGATTAATTCAGTAAATCAAATTCCATTAACAAGATATCCAGTATTGTTCTTTAGAGGCCTGCTTTATTGTAGCAATAAGAATAATAAACCGATGTCATTATTATTGCTACAGCTGGGTGGTGCAGTGCATAAGGTACTAGACTTGGAGTCAAAAAGATCTAAGTTCAAATACTGTCCTTATATGAGCTGAATGAGCCTAAGCAAATCACTTAACCTTTCCTTGCCTCAATTTCTTCATTTGTAAAATCTGTTGTTGTCCAGTCATTTCAGTTGTGTCCAACTCTTTGTGACACCATTTAGGCTTTTCTTGGCAGAGATACTGGTGTAGTTTGCCATTTCCTTCTCTAGCTCATTTTACAGATGAGGAAACTGAGGCAAACAGGATTAAATGACTTGCCCAGGGTCACATAGCTAGTGTCTGAGGCCCGATTTGAATTCAGGAAGATGAGTCTTCCTAACTCCAGACCCAGCACTGTATCCACTGCACCACCTGGCTTACCCTTCATTTGTAAAAAGAGAATAATACTAGCATTTATCTCACAAGGTTGGTGCGCAAATGAGATAACTTGATAAGCACTTGGCAAACCTTAAAGCATTACATAAGTGCTGGCTGTTATTATTATATTATACAAACATACTAGACTATAATATCTTTGAGAGCTGGGATTGCACTTTGCTTATATTTCTATTCCTCTCAATAGCCTAAAACAAGACAATGCCCATGAGTAGTTGCTCAAAAAAAAATCTGTTTGCACTGAATCTGTAATTAGCTGTTGAAATATTTTTAAGCAGATGGGTACTTTAGGGTTGTTGTTCAGTCGTATCTAACTCTTTATGACTACATGGACCATACCATCCATGAGGTTTTCTTTGCAAAGATACTGGAGTGGTTTGCTATTTTCTTCTCTAGTGGACTAAGGCAAACAGAGGTTAAATGACTTGCCCAGGGTCACACAGCTAGTAAGTATCTGAGGTCAGATTTGAACTCAGATCTTCCTGACTCCAGGCCCAGCGCTCAATTATCCACTGAGCCACCTAGCTGCCTCAGCTAGAAGCTGTGTACATTAGGGTACACAACTATAATTTATTCCCTCAGGCAATTTAAACATACTCCACATAATCTTATTTACATTATCATTTGCATGGTTAGCCTTTGTTCCAAGATGGTTCAAAGGTAGAATTTAGCCCATCCCTGCCTACAAAGAGATAGAGCACTGGACAAAGAGTCAGGATATTTAGGTTCTACATCCAAATGTGTCACTAACTTGCTCTGTGCTCTTAAGTAAGTCCTCTTCCCTTCCCTGGGTCTCAGTTGGTTTTTGTTGTTGTTGCTGTTTTAATCTATCAAATTTACAGATAAAAAGGTTTTTGTAGTGTTTTGTTTTGTTTATCTGTCTATCATTCCAAGATATTAAAGACTGCTAAGTGACAAGAGTGGAATAAATCAGGTGTCTCCTTCTAACTTCTCTTCCAGCTCCAACATTCTATTTTCTCTATCACAAATTCTACAGTAGCAGAGTCTGAACTAATACAATCTTATTTCCTTAGAAGAATGCCATTCAACTATCAATTTTATATTTTTGTTGTGGTTGTTGAATTGCATCTGACTCTTTGTGACCCCTTTGGGGGTTTTCTTGTCAGAGATACTGGAGTGGTTTGCCATTTCCTTCTCCTGCTTGTTTTACAGATGAGGAAACTGAGGCAAACAGGATTAAGACACTTGCACCAGGGCCACATAGCTAGTAAGTCTCTGAAGCCAGATTTGAACTCATAAAGATGGCTCCAGCCCTAACACTCCATCCACTGTGCCACCTAGCTGCCCCAATTTTGTATTACCCTTTTGTTTACCAAATAAAGCTGATAAATAAGAAAAGCGTGTCTATTGCTCCATGAGATATGCTGTTGATTATTACTTCATTTGGTTTATAATCCTTTCAAAAGTATTTCATCTCCATGGCAGCATTCATATTCGAAACAATTTCAGAGAATGCTGTACTAAAAATCTGTCAGATTCTTTAAAAAAAAATTTAATCATTAGCACCCAGCAAGCAGACAGTTCATGATACTATGGCCAATTGCTAGATGTCTATTAATAATGGAGTTTGAGATATCAAAGACTGCTAAATGATGAAAAAAAAAATTAATCAATACTATGATTCTGGCAGCTAGGTGGCACAGTGAAAAGAGCACTGTACCTGGAGTCAGGAAGACCTGATTTCAAATCCAGCCTCAAATGCTAACCATGTGACCCTGGGCAAGTCATTTGATCCTGTTTGCCTCAGTTTCTTCATCTGTAAAATAAGTTGGAGAAGGAAATGGCAAACCACAACTGAAATGACTGAATAACAGCAATGATTCTGGAAAGAACACAGCATGATATAGCAGAAAGAAGATTGGATTTGGAATCAGAAGACCTGAGTCTACTACCTACCTGTGTGACTCAGAGCAAGTCACTTACCATCCCTGGGGCCTCAATTTTCTCCTCTGAACTAAGGAAAAATAAGGGAGGCAGACCGAATGATCTCAAAGGCATTTCCCAACTTTAA